ATTAATATTTTAAAATTTTTAGTTGAGAATGATTATTTATATACAATTTTATACATTACATTTATGTAGAATTTAAATCGTTTATCTATTCACTTTTAATTATTAAAATTTATCATGACTTTTTATATTAAAAAATTAAACTTAATAAATATAATAAAAAATTAATAAATTTTAAATAATAAACAAATAATTAATTAAAATTTTATATAAATATAATATATGAAATTTATGTATAAATCAACTTCTACTCTTTTTGGGCGCTTAACATCTTAATCTATGGCTATAACCCTGCCCGCCACTTGCTTATCCTCTAATCTTTTGTTTGTCTTGTCTGCCCCTGCCAACTTTCAACGAAAACAGTTAAGGGCAGAGGTCAAAATCGTCCTTTCATCCACCTCCCGCAAAAGTAAGCTGCTTGCCTGCTTGTCCGGTTGTCCGCTTATCCCTCCCACTTCCCAGTGCCATCTAACGGCGTTTCCCGCTTTCTCTCTCATCACTATAACAAAACAGACGCGAGCAAAAAGGGAAAGGAGAGAAAATGCGGATGTTGAAGATGGTTTTACCGTCAGGGTGCTCGCAATCACCGTCATACTGGAATGGATAACCCGCCCCGCCGGCCCCATGAAACCAGACTCAGAAGAAAACCCCGAATCTTCTAAATTTGTCATGGAAGAATTTCATTCGTGTATAATTTTGATCCGAATGGTGAGTTGTTTGCAAATTGCTCCCGACTTATTGCTTTTGATGTTGGTAAGCATTTTCTCTATTTCCCATTAAAAGAAAAACACATATCTGAAAACATTTTCCATAAATTAAGATAAAAATGAAAAAACAAAAAGAAGAAAATTAAGATTAAAAAAAAAAAACTCAATTCTCGCTCCAGGCAGTTACTGCGCTTCAAACAGTCTTTCGAACTTTATTCTTGCGTCAAAAGTGATGAGCTAATTTCACTCTAACAACCTAACTAAGTACTAAAATTAATTAATTTTAATTTTATTTAAACAATTGAAATTAAATGATTTGACTAAATTAAATAACTAAACTAATTAACGAAAAACTAAATTGACTTTAAGTAACATCAAAAGTTAAAATTCTAAGGATTCGATTTTATTATAATCAATTAATATAGAATTTAAATTAATATATTTCTAAAGTATTTATTATTTATGTAACAGCAGGATTTCTTATCCTATCTGATATACTTTCTCAAGTTATACCAAACCTATCTTCACTTATTAACTCACTACATCCCTATGTGAATTTAAATAGATAAAGATGCATTATATTATGTGAAATTCTCTAGTTTACATGGAAAATTAAGTCTACTTATCATTAATGTTGCACAAATCATGTTGATCCATCTTTAGCTTTTGTTCAATTCATAGTATATATTACTAGAAGTTATTGCATAAAATCTCCTCTCGATCTCAATTATACTCTCCAAATCAGTTTTAATAGTGACTAATCATTAAAAAGCATTAAGAACAATAATATATATTCTACATAAAATAATAAATCTTGAAAGTATAAAACTCATAAAACTCTATATTAAATTGATCAGGTTACATCGTAACCTTAGATGACAAATCAATTCATAATTAAAGAAAAAAGAATCAACAATCTCATAGTAATTATACGAGAATTCTTAAGGACAAGCAAAACCAGTTTGACATATAAAATCCTAAGCCTTGATTTTCTTTTATTATTGAATTTCTCTTAGCTGTCTTTGTTGGTCCCCTCTCAAAAGCCCTAAAAACTGATTTTTGAATGGATATTTATAGAGTTTAAGAAATCATATTAGAAGAGAAGTAGGACTCGGAAAAATAGGAAATTGGGATTTTTTGGACGCTGAACGCATGGTGCCAACACCCTTAATTATGTGTCGACACAGAATAGGAAACAGAATTTGTAATTCTGGACGCGTAATGCATACTGTCGACACCCCGATTATGTGTCGACACTACATCCGTGTCGGGTTTTTGGCATCTTTTCCAATTTCTTTAATAATAAAATTTCAGATCTGATCCTCCAGGTTTTGTACGATAAGTACTGAGATCTTGAAACTTAAGATTCATTCATTTAGGTCCCAAAGAAGTCTCTTTCTTCTTGCAATTCAGCCCTTCAACTTCCAAAAGATTTTCAATTAATTCCAAAAACTCCTACTATTATGCATCCAAGTCTTTTTTTGTACAAAGAATGAAACCCATGTAAAATCTCATAAAATTCTTCCAAATATTAATAATGTCAAGGCAAAAATTCAACATTAATATGTATATAAATTCATCTAATCAAAAAGTAACCACCCCACCCCCAATTCTCTACCAAACAGCTCCCAGCTCTCACTATGAATTCTTTGGTGTTCCAGAGCCTCCAATCAACTTCCCGCACCTCTAGCACACCACATATTATTCCGATGACTCAAACTTCTAGAATGCGTTGCATTACTCCTCTTGTGCACATGAGTTATTGCAATGCATCACCTCTGCGTCTACCTTCTCTGTGTATGAGTTACGGAAGTCGATCTTCTCCACATCTTCTGTCCCTCAACTCGTAAAGGACCTCCGAGCTCTGCGTCTTTAGACTCGTGCTTTAGCTGAAAATAGGTTTGGTCCTCTGTTTTTACTTAACTCATTAGCTTAAATTAGAGGAATGAGTTTTTGGACAATTTAAATTGACATGTTGCTAGCTGTTTCTTTCAAGTCAATTGATATTTGTACTAAAATCAGGTCTAATCATAATGATCAATGGGAAAACTGGAAACAGCAGATTCTAGAAATACTACTGGCCTGCAAGAAAGTCTATGATATGGCTGCAAATGTTGTTGATATCCGAACTACTTTAACAAAGCCTATACCTCTTCCCTTGCTAGCAAAACCAGCTATCAACATGGAAATGTACTGGTTTGAATGGCTTATCGATCCAAAGAAGGTAGGTGTAGTGAACAAAGGCTTTTTTTTTGAAGTGGATGATGAAACACCTAAAGTTTGTGTGATCCAAACTAGGTTTGGTTCTTGGTACAAGACCCGCACAGTGCACTTAAATGCTGAGGGAAGGGGTGAAAAATTCCTCCCAAAATTGCCAGTTTTTGACCCTATCATCTATACGCAATGGTTGCAAGAAAAGAGTTTGGAAGTTGTGTCCATTGGATTAACAGGAGATGATGTTGTGACTAAGATTACATTTTCTAGAAAGATAACCATATCAAACCCTTTCATTGTAAAATCATTTGGTATTTCACAGCCAACCAGCTTCCCTTATACTTCTTTGAGGTTTCTTTCACTAGCCAACATTGGTGAGTTGCTTGCTTCAGAGCTTGATGCTGAAAATTTGGCTAATAGAATTGAGGTTGCAAAACCATTTCCATTAACTCAATTTATGATATTAATTAGTACAATTTCTTAATCACTGCCTAATAATGTCTAAATGCAGCACCTGTTCAATGCCACGATGGTCAACATTGGGACGAAAATTTGTGATTTGAAAGTGTCGATCGATGCAATTCATGGTTTAGGAACAGAAGTGAACTACACAGCCTTGGATTCTACTAACTACGAATGAGGTGCTGCAGAATTAAGGCTACACAGCCCTGGATTCTTACCAGTTTTACCATCTGACTCTTTGTTATTTAGATTTGGTTTCTGTTATTTTCTGTTAAGTGTTGGTTAACACAAGTAGTTCGTTATCTTGCCAAAAGTAAAATGTAAAAATGAGGAGTTGCTCTCTTTGTTGATGAGTGTTGCCACAAGTACTCTGTTGAGGAGAGTTGGTTAACTCATTGTTATTATGTTTTTGAAAATGAAATATGGGCTTTTCAAAATGAAATATGGACTCTGATACTAT